TCAATTAAGCGTGGCTTTTTTTCGTTGATGTTCTATACATATGAAAGATTAAATGTAACCCTTATTGATACCTTTTGACTTAAAGCAGGTTCGTACCCGTCCATCTGTTTACCGCTGGCCCTCTTTAGTGCAAAACGTTGTAGAATTCCACATTTAGTCTACGCCCATATAAATCCCCATTCGTTCTTTTTCATAAATAACATACAATAATTATATTCTACTAGACTGTGGAATAACCAATGACAGACGACTGTTTGAAGCTGTGAGGAAAAGTTATTAATTTAACATATCAAACATACCCGATAATGTAGGCTGAATCACTAGCACTCAGGAAATAGTCTGTTACACTTGGCAATATTGGATTGTACGAGAGCAGTCACATCTATAACAGAGCTTGATGTGACAATGGTGTTAACCGCCACAAGTATAACCATGCCAAATGGGCTAGACGCAGAACGGTTAGTTGTAGAGAGTTTAGGCGGTCTCAGCTTTGCGAAGTGATTCTCCTCAACATCCCTCTGCTTAGTCTAAAGAGCAAAAGTTGAGTGACTGATGCTGGTGTCGGTACTCCAATGAAGGTTGTTCATGTTTGTTAAATCACTCTCTGCCGCTCAGCCCATATAAAGCCACAGCAACATGAACACACCAAGAGTGGTAACAATCTAATGTCGATATGGTGCGCAGTGCAGTACTGTATACACATATTGATAGAAAAACATGTTAAATAGAAAGGTTTCTTCATGGGCCAACGATCATCATTTGTTAAGTTGCCGTAGCTGAGTTTCTACATAGGCCTGGTTCAAATATTTTGGGGTTTCGTTTCCGGGTGTTGAAACTCAAGGTCTTTTAACAGTTCCCTGAACAGTTGGTGAACTCGCTCAGTTGACGGTACACCCAGTGTAAGTTGCTGCCGTGGTAAACAAAATATTTTAAAACAAATTACTGACTGGTTTTCTCTTGTTTTAGAGACTGACAAAAACTCTATAGTTGTGACGAAAACAAATTAATCCAATTCACAGTGAATTTTCCCTTTTAATTTTGACTATTATGTCAAAAGAATTGTCAGTTATGCCTTGGTAACTTTGAAGTCTGATGTTTACTGAATACACTTCCATTTGAATCTGAATACACTTCCTTTTTAAACAGTGTACTCCTGCTCAGTCACACCGTTTAATTTCCATACAAAGTGAACACTGAACTTATGGAACCATAGAAATTCAGTTTTTCAAGGCTTCGTCATGACACGCATTGCCATCTAGCTCTGTTTCTTACTATATGCTTTCAGTTTTGCTTTGGTTCTGTTGTTTTTATAATGCGAGGCATAACAAGATAGCAAAATACATTCAACCAAAGTCCCGCCAATACTTGTTTGCCCAACTCAAAAACTACTGCGCACATCTTACCCAAATTACGACTAATCAGTACAGAAGACCATTAGCAATCCAGCCATACTCTTCATTTTGGCCCAAACAGTGATAATGTGTACGAAATTATGCAATTTATGACAATGCTACCGAAAAAGGTTGCATTTTTGTATACTTGCAAGGTGAGTGTGAACCACAACTTGCACGTATACAAAAGTGCAACTGTTTTCGGCATTATTAATTTTGTTATAAATTGCATAATTTCGTACACATTATCACTGTTTTGGACCAAATAAAGAGTATGGCTGGATTGTTATTTGAGCGAGAGGTGCTCAGTAGTTTTTGAGTCAGACATACAAGTTTTGGAAGGGGGGGGATACTTTTCTTGCAATCAAGATACCAAAGGGTTGTCTACTCGGCTGACAAGAGGTAATTAACTGGAGACAACCAACAATAGGAGTGTCCATGATGAACTGCTGAGCGTGCCGCCAAACCTAAAATATTCACCTCCACAGGCCACAGAAATTGAGGTTTATCGGAATGCAAAATTTAACAAAAGCAAGACATAATGTACACGTAGATCGCGGTTATTTAGCTCGAAGCATATAAAATTGCCAAAGTAAATGGTTATGTCATTTTGCATAGCGAATCCCGCTACGAATTTCCTCAAGTCGTATCCGGGAGCACACTGACGTAACAATACGTGTATTCAACTGCAGGGCAAATACTAACCTACATTGGTTTCGATGAAGCAAACATCGACTGTATTGTAGAAGCACTACAAAAGGCAGTGTCAAGTTTAACAAAGGTTCGGTTGAACTACTTCCTTGACTGAGGGACTTTGACACACAGGCTTTAGTTACCTGGCGCATACGTTTATCCCATGCACTGGTTGTAATGTTTAAATTGACAAGGATATGCCTTGTTTCGTTTCAAAATATAATTTTTATTGATTTGTATTCGAAGTGGTAAATCTTGAACTGTATTTTAAACAACATAACGAATTAATAATCGGTAATAACGAATTAATAATCCGTAATAACGAATTAATAATCTGTAATAACGAATTAAATAATCCGTAATAACGAATTAATAATCCGTAATAACATATTCTTGCAGTGGCGCTAATGGGCTTCGTACTTTCGTAATATTAGAGGCAAGGCTATACATTCGAGACCTCCGGCCTGGGCCAGATATTAACAAACGTTTTAGGGTGGCTTGCGGGATGGAGGCCGGGTAGTCTCCTCCATGATGTAATAGACCATGACAGAAAGCCATATGGTCTTTCACATTTGAGCAGGTTTACTGTACAAACAAGACGTCTGTTACAAGCCTGCAGCACCCCCCCCCCAACTTTTTGGATTGGGGTGCTCAGCACCCCTACTCCCGGGCAAAAAAATGTGTTCCAGCCAGCAGTGTTCAACGACGATGAAATTGCGCCGCTACGCTATACATCATGCTTGCTCTACAAATATCTCCTTCGTTTTGTTCGTTTCTAGTTTTGCCGTGGCTGAGCGCGGCGCTTCGAACGTCGTGCACGAACACTGTAAAATATCAAGAGGAGGTATTTTCTAAATCTTCAGGCAGTGCAGAATCGATATTTCTCTCAAGTTATCTAAAATCATGACATGTCTATGACATTTCCGCCATTATGGAAGTTTGACCCGAAATCTATAACCTCGGCCATGACAATGGTAATGAAAAAGCTATTCATGTTTTACCCTCTGCAAGTTTTTCCTCATAAACACTCAGTAGACCGATAAATCCTAGCCTATAGCCCCAAACTTGCCATCTACCGATCATAAACATAAAGATGCATTTGGTCTGTTAGTCTTTTATATTTGCCATTCCCTGTAACAAACAAATAACACTGCAAATATATCAAGAGCTACATCGTTTAGGCCTATGTGAATATTTTTATGAACAGAAATTCACCAGCTCCCAGTGGACCCATTTTGTTTTAACTTGAACCCAAAAACACCCTTTCGGGTTTTATAAGTTTAAGTATATACTTCAGTATATTTCATCACAGTGCATCCAGAATCCAACATTTTCAGGGGCCTTAAAGCGGACCTCTGGCCCTGTGGCCCCACGCCGTAAGGGCTCAGAAAATAAATAAAATATACACGAAGGTAATTACTAAATGCAAGAGAGCAGCCTTGCAACAATAATATTTACATGCGATGTCATGCAATATACAATTCTTTTCTAGAATTAAATGGAACCAAATATGGACATAAACATACAGGGTTCTCCACTTTTCAGTACAGTTAAACGTTTTAAGAGCAACAGTATATTCTAAACAAAATAATGAAATAAATTGTCGTTATAATCTCAAAACACTTTTGCTAAAAAAGTCAAAAGACAGTGGCCAGGAACTGCGCCTCAGATTGCACCACATAATTCCAAATAAAGCCACGACGTAGGCCTAAGGGCTTTGAGCTCCGATTTTGCATTAATTTTGTCCGTCCTTTAGCCTAATTCCAGCACCCCCTGGCAAAAGTTTGTTCCAGCGGCAGTGGTCTGTTAGCCCGCTATACCGCCTACCGCTCGGGTGGAATATCCACACTACGTAAGAAATTAATACTCGATTAATCATGGACGAATAACCCATGTTTTCGAAAACTGCGATATTGAAAGGTTCCGCTTGATTCATAGATCATGCAAGCATCCTGTGAAATAATTGTGTGCATTATGATGTCATTTTCGAGAAAAGAAGAGAAGAGTTTATTTTTAGTTGCAATCGGTTATATATCCGTGAGTGAGAATTATTTTTCCCGAGTGACAAGCTGGGATATTACCTTGAAGCGGACGTAAGTACAAACGTATTAATATTACTTAGGTGGCAGGGCTTTCAACGGAAATCGAGCTGGGTTAATTTGCGTTGAGAAAAATCAGGATGCATTTTACAGTTTTTGAAAGCATGATTTTATTGATTTACAATATCTGAAATTTCGATAGGTTCAGTATATTTTAATAACCAGCTTCAGATATTGTGGTTCTTTTAAAATGGGCAAAACTATATTTGTGCAAACGGTGTGAAAAGGTAAGCGCACAATATTGTAAACAAATTGTGACATCGACACGGGTGTTGAACAACGCCACGAAACAAATACAGTCAGGGTGACCGTAAGGTTATGACTAAATTCTGTTAAATGCACTGCAAAAATCGGTCAGATTTATCAAAAATCTGCCAAATTCCCTAGAATTACTCGAAATACACTATTTTAAATCACATGCAGATGTTGTAATACTGCCTGAAAATTAATAATGTTCAAATTACAATATAAACAATCTATAGCCACATAAAGATAATATGAAATTGTGTAAATGTCAGGCAAAATGCTGTTGCTTCACGACGAAATCCGGTTTGAACCTCAGGCACCTAGACCAAGCAACCTCTTTTAAAGGATTGAAGCTTTTGTAAACAAATGTACCTTTTTTTTTAATTTGCTGTTTTTGTGTCAAAATAACCAGTTTTGTAGAATTCAGCCAGAAATCGGCCCAAAAAATCAATTCGGTCAAATTTTCTGTCAAACTCTTTTTTTTAACAAAAAATCTGTCAAAGTTAGCCGCAAAACGGCTAAAACGGTCACTGCGAATACAGGACATGCGTGCCACTGATAAACTTATATAGCGCCACCTATTGGTGGCACTTAGCTACTGGACGCACGCACCTGCGATCGTAGTGCATGATTGATTGGAATTTACACGGTGGAGGGTCTGTGGTCGAAACATCAGTTGGTGAGTAAACGTCCTAGGAATTTGTTGTTACTAGATAGAGTAATGAGAATGTGTTCATAAAACGAAAGGGGAAAAGACTGTTGGGAAAGATTCCCATATTTGGCCATCACTTGTTTACCCTGTCATGCCTGTGCACAAACCCTATGACTAATGACAATGTGAGCAGAGTATCACTAATGAGTGTGAGACTGGTCTGAAAAGTGTTTTCTTAGTAAATACTTCAATATTTTTCCTGCTAATTTTGACTTTTTAGGACATATTATCACTTTCTGATGGCTGATAGGTCACTGAAGGGAAAAATTAGTGATGGCCAGATATGGGAATCTTTCCGAATGGTGCATCCTGATGCGTTCATTACTCAATCAATGAGGTCAGTCATTGCAAAAATGTTGAAAAGACATGAATCTGGGACTGAGCTAGTCCGAGTAACTTGGACCCAACTTATCGCCTTTTTTAACATTTGGACATGGTCTGGCGAAAGTAAGCCAGACCATGTCCAAATGTTAAGAAAGGCGATAAGTTGGGTCCAAGTTACTCGAACTAGGACTGAGCACGCTGAGAAACACTTTCCACATCATGTTCCAATATCAGAAGTAGTCCAGTATTAAAATTGGCCACATTTATGGGGCTAGTTCCAATGCTTTGAAAATGCACTTGAATCTCCATACCATATAGTCTGACTTTGTACACAACCAAAGAAGTGGCGACGTGGAGGGAGGGAGTCGTGTGTGCAGTAAACAGCGGTTTGACACACTGTTCTGATAGACTGACATAGGGATTTCAACAAGTCCGATGAGAAATTGAAAAGTTTCACCCCTTCAATGCTAAATCGTTTCAAAAAGAATGTTGCAACCTGACGCTGCTTTTTTCTTCATATCATCTCAATGAAGGTTAGCGCCACTTGTGTGGCCTCTATATTGCTGTGCTGTACGTTAGGCCACACGTCTGGTTTCCCAATCTACTGAGGAGTTTAGTCCAAAACTAGCACATGAGGACTCCAGAAAGATGTCAAAATTTGAAGAAAGATTACCTTATCTAGCCCGGAGGGCAAAAGATAAGGCATCATAGATTACAACCCTATGCAGTGGTATGTAAAAAAAATTGCCAAAAAAGGTGCGCCAGGCTTTGGACTAAACTCCTCAGTTGGTTGGAAAACCAGGCGTGTGGCCGATCGTACAGCGCAGCAATACCAAGGCCACACAAGTGGGGCTAAATGAAGGTCAGTAATTGCAAAAAGCATGATAAGACATGAATATGGGACGGAGAAACATTTCCAATTTTGTTAGGAAATACTTGGAAAATGTTCTTGACTCTCCATAGACTTTGTACACAACCGCTAAAGCAGTGTCAGGTTGCAACATTCTTTCCAATCGTTTGTCCTGACTGGACGGCCTCAATAAATTAAATTGCATTCAATATAATAATAGGATAATTGCGATCATTTTGAAGGGCAGGTCTCGTTGAGAATGTAGGCCTACTACTGCCTACTACTACCGTACATACTACTAAACTGCTAATAGTACTAGGCCTAGGTCTAACATTACAATGTAGAACTGAGCCCAACTAGGTTGCAATTCCTTTATTGGTCGATCTGTGCAATCTGTCGATCACGCTGCGCTATCGGTCAATAATGACGGATATCTCGGACTTTAAATGCCTTTTTACAAAGAATCCTCCAGAGCCGTTAATTAGAAGGAAAAGGTGTTCAACTGGTTGCAACGGGATCGACCGATAGCGTCATGATTGACTGATAGTGCACATCGACCGATCGCGCCCAACATATGATGCCATAGTGGAGTTACAAATTTTGTCATTTACATGTAGGTTCAATCAAAATGCACTACGTGTGCAGTTGGGCACTATTTTTCAACTTTTGCAAACATTTGTGTTCGGCCTAATTATGTACTCATAATTTGTGTGACATTTGAATACTTGTGCTTTATTTCCCCGCAGGCCAGTCATCAGTGCCATGCCCGTGTGATGCCTTCAGAAACTCAGTGAATCCTTTCAAACACTTCCAGTGAATAAACTCCTGGGATAGTCTCCCATACTGCCAGACCTGAGCTGAAGAGCCATGTAGTCCTCCACTCTGAGAAACGTTACTTAAGAATCTGACTATCAGCGTCCAGCCGTGATGCTGGCACGCTGGTAGTTTGCCGTCTTTATTCGCCTTCTTTTGCTGAGGATGGGAAGTGGTTCGAGTACCTCCAAGTCGAGTACGCCATCACCAGCATCGTCGAAGACATCATCAGCAAAAATGCCCGAGCCGTCCAGCCGCGGGACCAGCCGCGGTCGGCGGCAGTTTGAGGAGGTTGAATTTGAGGACCCCAACGCACCCCGCCGCACTTCTCAGGGAAGCTCGTCGAACGGGTACGCGGGCGGGATGGCCGCCCAGCCCAACTATGGGAATTCCTATGGGGGACCCCAGGCGCAAGATCCTTACGGGGGCGGTTATGGTGCCTATGGGGGTTTAGGGGACACCCGCAGGATCAGTGGCAGCACGCTGGGCATGGGGTTAACTCCCAGCAGCGAGTGGTGAATGCCTTGCAGTCACACTACCAGCAGGCCCAAGCTGCCCCTCAACTCGCCCCTCAGCCTAACCAGGATCCGGATGAGTTTTTGTCAATGGCGCTGCAGATGCAAGAACTGGTAAGATCTTTTTATTTGTGTACACAGGGTAAGTAAAAAGAAAAACGAAACCCGAATGTCGGGACCATTTATTTAGAGAAAGTTCTGCCTGTGAAAGCCCAATTCATAAGCTTTGTTGTAGTACAAGAATCATTCGAATCACTCATGCACTTTTCAAGTTGCGGAATTTTCAACACAACGACCGTTTTACAGTTCTGTCCACGGATCACAAAAAAAGGTAGGCCTTAGTGTTTTTTTAGCAAAATGAAAACAATTCACATAGGGATGAATGTAAATTCACAAACGTGCTCAAAATCTAGAGAAGGATGCTAAACAAACAATCTGATGAAGTTTCAGCTGTTTATTTCGAGAAAAACAGCATTCTAGGATCTCTATTTCTAATCGAAAGTTGCTGAATCATGTTTTGAATTGGGCCTGAATTTAGCGTCCGAGACACGTTCTCACTTACCCGATGTCGCGCATCGATCCGACAAATTATAGCAACTGTGCCCACGTGTGCATCATGCCAACGCTTGTGCGCAATTCGCCAAATAAAAAAAAACAATTACTAACTGAACTTTCCAACAGTACATCTCGTTGGAAAGGCCTTCTTTCGTTAATTTCTTCAAAATGACAGCTTGCCAGAAAGAATTTTTCACAGGGAGTTTAGTCCCCTTACTATCTTTCAACCAAGTATGTTTTTCAACAATAATTAAGTTAAGTCAGTTACTTTTTGTATAGCTTCAGATGATGGTCTGTAGCTTTAAGTCAGTGGATCAAATCTCGTTTCAATGGGGGTTTTTTTTTTGGGGGGGGAGGTGTTGGTTAGACACTGATTGGGGTGGGGGGTGTTGGGTGGGGGTTTTACAGTAGAACTGTACGTGATCCTAAATGCTCATTGTAAATAGGACACCTTCTGTTCACTGCACAATTAACATAAATTTTGTATTTGCTTGTCTACATCATACTACATACATTGTACCTATATACTTGTACACGTACATAGGTGTATAGGGATAACAGTGAGAACACAATAGCCTTATGTCTCGGTACGTCTTCAGTAGGGCCCCATTATTGATCTTAGCCATGTTAGCTAGGCCGGTCTCCATAATAAGAACCAAAGGTTTCCACAATAATGTGCCAGTCAATACTGGCAATTTACAGAAGAGATGTCATTTGTCACAAGGTTTTGAATAGAATGCATGCTGATTGTCTAGATGTGTTATCTTTGTTTGCCATCTATCTATGCATTAAAATACATGCTTTAAATATTTGTTATGTTCTTTTAATTTTTTATAAGTGCGCAGTTTTAAAAGTTAGTACCTCTGTGACTTTGACGTAATAATAACCTTGTACATTTTATTGCCTTTATTTTATATTACGTGTATTTGTTTTATTTTATTGCACAACTTGTACTTTCTCATAAAATTCAGCATTGATAAGGGTTAAATGAAAGATGAAAATGCAGCTGTTTGAAGAAATTGTACCGAAAGGGAAAAACAATATTTCTAATACATTTTGAAGAACATGTCTCACACAAAGTAAGAATAATTTACCAAAAAAAATTGTAGGCAGTACAAAACGGAAAATATGACATTTTGGTCACTGGATGGGTTAAGAATGTAACAAACAATGATACAGACACCCCAAGGGACCCAATAAATATACTTCCTTTTCCCTTGTTTGCAGTATATCAAACCTCCGTGCACAATGTTAGTACATACAAAGGCTGCCCTAAAACATTGAAAATTTAACAAGATATGTCAATAAGTAAAATCGTGAAGCCCTAAAAAAAATAGTGCGTGCATTAGTAAAATGGCACTTTGATAATCTTGATGGGATGAAATATTCAAGGGTTTTCAAAACGGGGGGCCACTTTGTGATCGGGAGAATTCAAATTTATCAGCTTTGTTGAATTTTCATTTTTGTATCATAATTTTGAGGTGAAGGGGTATGGGGAGGATTTTGGGGATTTTAAGGAATTTAAAGAGGGCGATTTTATGGCATTTTTCCAAACCGTTTTTTTTTTTTTGCATGTGGGAAATTATGCATTATTTTGTGCATGCGAAGAATTTTTTTTTGGGGGGGGGAAGGAATCCATATACAGCCTCATGGAAAATATATTTTTTTTTAGTGTGTGATCTTTGTCTTTTTTTGCTTTATTTTAAAAAAATTATTTTAAGAGTTTGATGCCCCACGTTCCATTCATAATTGACGTCATGAAGATAAAATAGCGTATAATGACTAAAATTTCTTATTGAATGAACTAACCGGAAAAGCAGATCTGTCAAAGCATTGCCGACTCTTTTTTGTCATTTTTGCTGTGTTTTTAAAAAATTATTTTAAGAGTTTGATGCCCCCACTAGCACTATTAATAATTGACGTCAAGAAGATAAAAATAGCGTATAATGAGTAAAATTTCTTATTGAATGAACTATTGCAGATCTGAAAAAGCATTGCCGATTCTATGAAATTTGAATTGCTTCCCTGTCTTGTATTATTAACTGGCCTCAATGAATAATCATCATATGGCCTTCAGTCGTCAGCTTGTGTGTTCCCCGAGTGGAGATGGATAGTGCAAAGACAAAGTCTTAAATTTTTTACATGGAAGACATTGCAAATTATGCATTGCAACCATGTAGTGACTTATGATCCAAATTTTTTTACAAAAGGTACTTTTGAGAGCCGTTTTTCAGGTCCTGTTTCGACCCGAACGTGCAATTTGTGTAAAAGTCGTCGTTGGGGGCAGCAAACAAAACATAGTAAATCGTGACGTAATAAACAGGACTCGTTTATACTACGCTGCATCGGAGTCCTGTTTATTACGTCACGATTTACTATGTTTTGTTTGCTGCCCCCAATGACGACTTTTACACATATTGCACGTGCGGGTCGAAACAGGACCTGAAAAACAGCTCCCAAAGTACCTTTTGTTCTCATTTCATGACAGACACAATAGTCGTTTTTATTTCATCACACCTTAGGCTACATATACCCGAAAAATGACGGAAATGTCTTCGAGCATTCCACAACCTCTTTAAAAGAAAATAATACTATGCTTCTATTCCATTATGTCTAGTACATTCAAGGCAATAAAATGTGAAATTACTGTTATTATCATGTCACCACAAACATATACATGTGCTGTGTCATCTCAACTTGACAATGACAATTTAATAAATGAGCCTTTAATTCCTAAGGAACACATGGGGCCTTGTGGCAAAATGGTAAAACATTGTGCTATAACTAGCTCTGTGGATATTTAATCAAATTATTTGCTTGTCGTAAGGCACAAGAATAAAATTTTCAGAGTCAGTTTTTGTCCTTTTTGTAATTCAATCAATTCTTTGCACTGCGGACATTTTTTGAAGATAATGCCCAAGAAATCAATTTTTTTTTTACTTCAGCTTCATGGAGCACTAAATTCACAGAATAAGATTTTAACACTGGATGTACTATAGTATTTGCTGCATATGTTTGCTAAATTTAGGATGACAGAAAATCATTTACATGTAGCTTTACTGATTACTAGCACTAATTGCACGTCATGATTTTAAGAAACTCTGACTTGTTTTGGGGGTTTTTTTGGAAAAAAAGAATGGAGCATGGAAGTTGGTCTCAAAACCATGCAAGAATTTACGAGAATACAGCACATCTAGGGACCATGTAAGGGAACTACATGTACAACATGTACAACATATTTCCTATTTTTTTCTGTTGTTTTGTTTTGTGTCCTGACTGGGCCATCCAATCAAGGGCAATTATGTCATTGTATTTTGAAAGAAAAAAATATTACAATCTACAACACAAATTGAAGATATTGCAGATGTTGATGACTTTTATAAAATTAAAATGGCAGAATTCAACTTCCGTTTAGTACCGTTAAAGAAACCCAAGCCAAAAATTCAAATCTGGGAAGTTGCTGTTGAGATTTATCATAAAGGTTCGCATCGTGTCCACATCAGTGTGGCAATACGGCCAGGTCCGTTGCCAGCCCTGAGCATCAAGGGGGCCATAGTACCAACTCGGGCCAACTCGGGGGGGGGGGGGGGGGGGGGG